TGCTAGCCTGGATTCACTAAAAGGGAACAGATGAGAAAGTACAGAAGTAACTAGGTTATATAAAGACAGAAATCAGAACAACTACCTGGAAAGGAACTCAGCAAGAGTTCTGGCCAGACCTCCCACCAATGCCTTGTTAGCTTGGATCTCATGTTCCTTGGCATTTGGAACACAAATCCCCCCAGCAGCTCCATTGCCCCTTGGGCAGTGTACACAGCAGCAAGGCTTGCAACTGGCCAGTAAGGCAGATGTCTGGCTGGTGGAACACCTTTTGATCACACTGCATGCATCAAGCACTGTCAGCACTGTTCAGTGGAGGACTTAATTGAAGATCGGTACTGCTTTTTCGCATGGAAGGTCCGTACCTATTGTATTTGTCAGGATTCACCTGGTTGCTAATGGGAAAAACCCAAATTTGAACTGACTTTAAACAAAGGAGGAAACATGACTTTAGCTTCAGAGATGGCTTCTGGTAAGACATCATCAGGGATGGCTCTCTTTCTTAGCCACGATTTATTTTTGCTTCATCATGTGAAATTAAAATTTTTTTTCTTTTGGAGATAGTCTTGCTCTGTCACCCAGGCTGGAGTCCAATGGCACGATCTCGGTTCACTGCAACCTCTGTCTCCCGGGTTCAAGCCACTCTCCTGCCTCAGCCTCCCGATAGCTGGGATTACAAGTGCCCACCACCACAGCTGGCAAATTTTTGTATTTTTAATAGAGACGGGGTTTCACCATGTTGGCCAGGCTGGTCTCGAACTCCTGACCTCAAGTGATCCACCCGCCTCGGCCTCCCAAATGCTGGGATTACAGGCGTGAGCCACTGCGCCTGGCCTAAAATTTAAAATGTAGTTTCAACTTTTATCTACATTATAAAGGTACATAGTTTAAAGACTTAAATACTTAGCTGGGTGCGGTGGCTCACACGTGTAATCCCAGGACTTTGGGAGGCCGAGGTGGGTGGATCACGAGGTCAGGAGATCAAGACTATCCTGGCTGACACAGTGAAACCCCATCTCTACTAAAAATACAAAAAATTAGCTGGACATGGTCATGGGCACCTGTGGTCCCAGCTATTCAGGAGGTTGAGGCAGGAGAATGGCATGAACCCGGGAGATGGAGGTTGCAGTGAGCTGAGATCGCGCCACTGCATCCCAGCCTGGGTGACACGGTGAGACTCCATCTCAAAAAAAAAAAAAAAAAAAAAAAAAAGAGTTAAATACTCTACCAGGCTTGTTATGAAAAAGATCTTCTCATCCCTATTTCCCAGGCCTCAAAGGAATTATGGTGTAATTATGTTTAGACAAATATTCAATGTTTACATTATGTAAATAGTAGTCACAGCTGAGCCATCGTACATTCTGATTACATTTCCTCTTCTGCACAACTTTTTGTTTTCATTAGAGTTAAAAAAATTCTTTTCTGTTTGTTTGCTTACTTTTCTATGCACTAACTCATCTGAATTATTCACCACTGGTTGTGTAAATCTCCCCTCAACGTACTCAGACACATTACAATCTCTATCAGTTTGGTCTTTTTGAAGAGCATTCTTCAATCTGGATAGGGGCAGCTGAGCAGTGGTTGTCTTAGGCTATTTTCCTCATGGTTTCCCTGGAATTTCTTATATTTCTTCCTAATGAGAGATCCTCTGGTTTTATGGACTTCATGTCTTTGCTTTTTCAGTTTTTTACCCTTTTTTTGGTGTAGTAGACTCCTGTGACAATGCACAAGTGAGGTTCATTTTAAGATTTAACATGCATATTTTCATACTTTTTTGATAATTTGCTTTTAAAATTCTATGCTAGTTAGTATATTACTCAGCAGTAAAAAGGAGCAAACTATTGATACATGTAAAAACTTGGACGAATCTTGAAGACATTACATTGATAAGAAGAGCCAGTTTCAAAAGGTTACATACTGTGTGATTCCATTTATATGACGTTCTCTAAAAGACAAAA